TGGACAGACCCAGTGTACCAGTCCCAGTGCCCCTTCCCACGGCTTCACACCCCACACATGGGAAACAGCTTCAGGCATGACCTGTGCTCTGGATCCTCAGGAGGGTCAGGACCCCGCGTCAGGGGTGTGGTTGTGAGCAAGAGCAGCACCACACCTGCTGATGGGTGCTGAGGTGGGGGCTGCTGCAGCATTCTGCCTCCTCACACATGCTCCCCACAGGCACTGGTGCGGTGAAGAATGTTGCAGCTCGTCCCACTACCTTGTTAGATCATTTTGATATTGTCTCTGTGCCCCAGTTTTGGAAAACCAAACCAATTTATGTGTGCAATGGAGGAAAAATTCCACCGGGGTACTTCTGCCAAGTGATACAGCCCACAGCACACTCCCAGGCAAGGTGCCATTTGCAATGGGTTGTAGGCAAGCACATTTGCCAAAGTTGGGAAGACACAAAGTTCCCTTGCAACCAACTTCATGAAGGACATGTGGTAAATCCATAGAACACACCTTTACCTGCTCAGACTTCTCCTTACATGCATGAAATGCAAACTTGTTTCCGAAGTGACAAATGAGACAGTGGAATTGGAAATGTCTCCACTAGCAATATGTGACAAGAGTAAGAGCAGTTCTGGACAGCATCAGAGCTTCAGGCTGCTTAGATTCCCTGGCATCATTTTATGTTCACTTTGTAATTTTAAGATTATTGATGTTTTAAATGGGCAAGATATTTTTTTCTTTAGTTAATGATTAGGATCTGGAAAACAAGATTGCTTCCTCTGGGAAAAAAAGCCACTCGTCTTCCCAAATTTGATTGTTAGACTTCACCCTTAGTAGAAGACTTCTGTCTTCTGAATGGCAGTGGAATAAGCAATGTTCTTGACATCTTGACTTCTTATTCATAGAAACACAGCAATTTCAGCTCATAAGGACCTTGGCAGGCTCCCTAGTCCTTTCCCAGCTGCAAATGGGATTCGCTATAGACAAACCAATCATGCAAGATGTTTGTGTAACCCATCCTTAAACCTATCCAGTGATTTTTCTCCAAGATAGGCATCCTATCCTAATGCCTGCTCTATAGAGGATAGTCATCCTGTTCTAACACTTTCCTAACTGTTAAAGAGTTTCTCCTACAGCCTTGCTACAGACCAAGCTGCTCAGGGCTGCAATAACTCAGCCAGCAGCTGAGAGCTTTTAGCCATGGGTATGACAGTACCATAATCTCCTGTCATCATGTACTTTGTATCTTTGATTATTTAGAGATCAATATACTGACATGTAAAGAAAAGGATATGTTCAACAGAACACTTGACCTCAGAAGCTTCTTATATGGGAAGGCTTTCTTGTAGATAGAACATACCCATCAGACACTGCAAGCTCCATAGAGTTCAAGATTTTAGGGCCTGAAGGGAACATTACAACCTCCTAGCCTGAACTTCAACATAAAATAGGCTATAAAACTTGACCAAATAATTTATGTGTCAGGCCAATAGCTTCTGGATGAGTTATAGATCACCTCTTAAAAACTTTCAGCCTTGATTTGAAGACTTTGTGTGACAGACAGAATTTACAACATCTATGGGCAGGTAGCTCTGGTCAGTCTTTGTGTCTCAGCAGTTTTTATTAATACAGCAAGTGTCTCTTCTTGTCGCATTAGCGTTATCATGTCCTGTATCTACAGTACAACATATGGTGGAAGGATAATGTGAAACTGTCAAGGGACTGCAACTTCAGTTGATCACTAGTGCTCCCCAAAGTTTAAGAACACAGCTAAAATAGAAACATACTGAGAGATACTTTTATTCAAAGTACTTTTCCCTATATAGGATTTGAAAGGAGACAGGCAGGAGCTCCATGGCCGCTTCCACTGTCAGAACAGGCAGAGGAGAGCAAGATAACTGACACCGTGCTGGAAGAACCCAAAAGCCATTGTAGAGGAGATGGAAGAGCACAGGGAGAACAAGTCTGTGACCTATCTGTGTGAATCATCATAGAATCATAGAATTGGTTTGAGTTGGAAGGGCCCTTAAAGATCATCTAGTTTCAACCCCCCTGCCATGAGCAGGGATATCACCCACTAGATCAGGTTGCTCAGAGCCCCATCCAACCTGGGCATGAACACTTCCAGGATGAGGCATCCACCACTTCTCTGGGCAACCTCTTCCAGTACCCCACTACCCTCTGGATAAAGAATTTCCTCCTAACAGCTAATCTAAATCTATCCTCTTTCAGTTTAAAACCATTCGCCCTTGTCCTATCACTGTTTGCCCATGTAAAAAGTTACTCTCCTTCTTTTTTATAAGCCACTTTTATCCACTGAATCCACTGAAGTCTGTCTAAACAAAGACAGCTTTGAATCCTATGCTGACAGAAATGTGATAGAAATGGAGGAGAAGTGATATTTTTCTGCAGACTGAGGGGGTAATGACAAACATTGCTTCTGGGATTCAGGTTGTCCAAGGACACAGAAGAAGGCTGGAGTAAAGTCAAGACTGAATGAAGAAACAAATCAGCCTGATATGCGTGCCCTGGATGAGGGACAGATTTGCAAACAGAAATGGGAGAAGTGGAAAAGTTTGGCAGAATAATTGTGGAAGAAGGCAAACGATGAGCTGAATCAGAAACATATGAGAGGATCTGAGGTTTCTAAGGTTCCTCTCCCCAGGAGACCATCTGAGCCATTTAGATGAGGAAAGCTCAAATAAAGACAGAATTTCTTCTGGTTGAAAATATTGCCAGAGATTAGTCACACAGGTATTGAAATATAAGTAAGTACTGATATATAAGTTCAGTTTCCTGATCACAAAAGCTTGCAGAGAGGCAAAGAGGAATGAGAGATGGCCTATTGAAAAGCAGACAGCCGTGGACTGAGTTTTGCAGCTCAGTCACCAGATACTCACAAAGATTTGGCAGAGGCAGACAGAGCTGCCCTCACAGCTTTGAAGACACGATCAGGAGAATGGAGTGCCCTCCAGCACCCCCATGAAAAACAGAGATGAGGGAGTATGTAGTACCGTTGGGTGACATTCCACTTCAAAACCCACAAGAAAACACCAGGGGGCAGGTGATGGAGCGTTTGGAGCAAAGCAATGAAAACACCAAGAAACTCAGTATACATCAGCAAAGAACCTATGTCTATACCTCTATAGCCTGGCAGTAGTTGGAGCATTAACTTTGTATGAACTACTTCCAATCACCAGTCGAGGAGGCACAAAATGATAGAGGTGACACGTACTGTAGAGTGGCTCTCAGGCTGATAAGCTCTGCTGGGCTTGTCAAGTTGAGCTCTGTGTCAGTACTGCATGAGCTAGCACATCCAAAGAACCCACCCCTCTGTACCTATCTGCTAATGCAGACAAGACACAACCAAGGTTTGATATGGTAGAATTGCTTGAGATGACCCTCTCAAGGCTTGTAGCACAACTTCCCCACTTTCTAAGAGTGAAGCTGGCTGCTCAAGGTTGTTAGGAAAGACCTGGAGGGTCAGGTACAGTGTGACAGGACCTTGGCTGGAGGGATCCTGCTCCAGTGACTGTGTTATAAAATTTGGCTCCCAGCTCCCTGTCCCTTAGGGAGCAGCCAGCCACTACAGTGCCCTGGCAGTCTTCATTCACCTCTTAGGAACCATTTCCTTCACTGTGAAGTCATGAGTTGCTTTAAAATAGTGGCTGGGAATATCTGAAATACCAGGTCAGTACATGACCACCTTGCCATTCTAATAGAAGACAGCCTCATCAATCCTGCCATCACAGTGGAGGTGCCTCTCGTTTGCTCAGGGAGGGTGTAATATTCAGCACCTGCAGCAGTCCCAATCTTTTGGCAGGCCAAGACTTTAAACCAGGATTTCCAAAGTATGCAGTCTAAAACACCTGTGGCCATCCTGGACAGATCCCACAATTTTCAGAGGCAGTTCCCAACCCTTGTTGTGCCACAATACACCGGCCACTGCAGAGCCTTCTCCAGAGACCAGAAGAACCTCCCCTTCACAGGAAAGCAGCAGTCATTTGGCCTGATGGACTACCCCAGAGGCCTGCAAAGCTAAGAGGAGGAAGAGGGAGCTGCTTCCTCTCGAAACTGAAGCAGAAGATGTGCTTTTCATGCTGATCTGGAGCTACAGTCCCAGCCCCAGTTCGGTGTTCCACTGATTAGCTGGCACCCATGGACAGACTTTGGGAGCCACGCTGTGGACTATTCACCACTGTCGTGGTACATGCTGTGGTGGAGCTGTGGCCTCAGGTTGAGTGAAATGAGATGCTTTAGCTTTCTCTTAGTTTAATGTCTTTGGTTGGGGTAATGCTGGCAAGGACAAGCTGTGTGGTATCTTCCCACAGCTGGTGAAAGGCAAGTTACTGAGGAACTGAGCAGTTCAGAAACCATGGCATGGACATGGGTGTCTAGAGAGTCCAAGCTACTGTTTCAGCTCCTCTGACGGCATGAATGTTTCTCAACATGTAAAGCTTCCAGCTCTACATTTTCAAGGAACACTGTTTTGTTTTAATTCTTGGGTTTCCTCCAAGGTCCCTAATTTCTCTGCTGACCACATATTTATCTCAGAATATGGGATAAGCAAGAAAGCCGGAGAGTCCATCGTTTCCCTGCTCGGAGGCTTTGCACATCTCTCCTCCAGGGCCGGTGCCCCACGCCGTGCGTGTTTATGAAAGCAGGGATACCTCCATCCCTCCCTCCCTTCCTAACCCCACCTCCCCAGCACGGCTGGAGGCGAAGCGGGGCCGGGGCCTACGGGGCCGGGCCGGGCCGGACCGGCCCTTCTCTGCGCAGGGGCGGCGGCGGCCCCAGCCCGCTGGCGGGCACCGGCCCCAGCCCGCCGAGCAGCGGCCCCGCCGCCACCGGTGCCGGCTTTTTGGCATCCCTGATCGCGGCTGGCCCCTGTGATTGGCTGCGCGGCTCTGACCCCGCTCGGGCTCCCGGCTGGGCGGATAAAAGGGGCCTGAGCCGGGGGCTCCCAGGCATTCCCGGAGCGGGCACCAGGGACCGCCGGCCGCAGCATGACGGGCAAAGCGGGCGCGGCGCTGGCCCCCAGCCTGCCCGGCAAGCCCAAGCCCGACGGCGCGGCCGCCGCCGCCCCGCCACCGCCTCCGCCGCCCCCCGCGGCAGGGGTCAAGCCCAGCTCCGGGCCCACCCCTCCCCGTTGCACCGGTTTCGGTATCCAGGAGATCCTGGGCTTGAACAAGGAGCCGCCGTCGCACCCTCGGGCCGCCCTGGACTCTCTGCCCGCCGGGCACCTGCTGGCGGCCCGCTCTGTGCTCAGCCCCGCCGGGGTGGGCGGCGTGGGCATGGGGCTACTGGGGGCCGGCGGCATCCCTGGCTTTTACACTCAGCCCACCTTCCTGGAGGTGCTCTCCGACCCCCAGAGCGTCCACCTGCAGCCCCTGGCCCGGGCTCCCGGGCAGCTGGACAGCAGCCAGACGGCCAGCTCAGGTAGGCACGTCCCCGGCCTCCGGGGACTCGCCGCGCCCCACCAGCGCAGCCGCCCGCATCCCGTGCCCCGCCGGGAGGCCACTTGCCCGGCGGCGGGAGGGCGATTTCGTTTCGATTCCGAGGAAGAGGAGAAGGGTGGACGGGACCGTATTTTCCCCCTTTCGGGGCTGCGGCCGCTACGTGACGGCGTGGCCGGGGGCGCCCGGTCCGGGAATGCGCGGAGCCCCGTCGGAGCGTTCCCCCGCCCCCCCAAGTCGTTGCCGGAGAATTAGGGGCCTTTCGGCATCCTTTTCCTAGACGGCAGCAGCCTCCCACAACTCTTCCTTCAGGCCCGTTCCCGAGGCCTCCTCGGGTACCCCTGGAGCGGCAGGCAGCAGCGCCCGACCCTGGCCCCGAGGGCAACCCCTGGCTTCCTCCCGGCAGCGGCCGGAGCCGTCCGACGCGGTTTCCGTCCGGGCCGTGCCCGCAGCACGGCCCGCCGAGCAGCACGGCGCCGGGGCCGGGCAGGTTAGAGCGGTGCCGCGGACAGGAGCGGGACCGGAGGGCGGCCGGAGCGCGCATCGAAATGTGGGTCCCAGTTCCGTCCCTCGGCTGCTCCTTCGGGGCAAAGGCGGCAGTGTCCTGTCCTTAACATCCCCGGGCCGTTGCATCCCTTGGAAGTCGGGGGCTACGGATAGGCACCAGCTCCTCCCGGGGTTTGTTTTTGCTGGTAGCTCCATAAACCTCAATTTCTCCGTCCCCGCTCCGGTGTTTCTGCGGCGCAGTCCGGGATCCCCGGGCTGGGGCAGGCGGCCGCGGATGCCTGGCCAGGGGCAGGGGGTTGCAGCTTCCCTGTTTTCCTACATTTTGGTTGAGCTCTCCGGGCTCTGCATTTTAGCAGCGAGACAACAGCAGCCTTAGCAAACGACACTGGGGGAGAGAAGCGAGAGCTGCAGCCTGGTCCCCGCCCGGAGCCTTCCCTGTCCGGGGTGGATCGCCCCGAGCTGCCCTCACCGGGACCGGGAGCGGCGCTGGGGCCGCGCCGCGCTGGAGGGAGCGGCCGGCGTCGTGCCCCGTCCGCGGCGCGACCGCAACGAAATCTTCGGCCAGAGCTGGAGGAGGGCGGGGAGCCGCCGGGCCCGGCTCTACCTGGGGGTCCCTGGCGGGGAGGGAGCCCCAGCCCACAGCCGCTGCCTGTCTCTCCGCAGATTCCGAGGATGTCTCCTCCAGCGACCGAAAAATGTCCAAATCTTCCCTAAACCAGAGCAAGAAACGAAAGAAGAGGCGGCACAGGTAAGCCAGGGGAGGCCACCCCACCGGCTCTCGCCGCCTCAGTCCCCAGGGAACCGGGCGCCGGCGGGGTAGACCCGCTCCGGCCTGAAGCAAAATACTCTTCCCGGCACCCGCCACCGGAGCGCCCCTGCGGCTTCTCCACCGGGTCCTTCCCTTTTTCTTTCTCCCCGTCCAAAATAAATCGGATTTGGGGACGTGCCTACAGGGAGCGGGGGGATCGACCACAGGTGTCGTTTTATTAATTTTTTTCTGGCTGCGGATCCAGGTATTCCCAGTCGCAATGCCGAACAGCACATGAGCATCTAGGCGGAATAGGGATCACCGGTGTTCGGGAAGGAAAGATCATCTACCTGTCAGAAATAATAAAACCCGTTATCGGCTCCACATACAGCAATCTTAATATTGGCTGTCAGCAAGACAGAATTCCTATCAATAATTTAAATATTTTATTACTTAGAAATAAATGTTTTGCCAATAGATTAAATAATTGGGAATCAGAGACAACCTTCAGAGAAGCTGAAGAAGGCTGGAAAATTGCTTAAGGAAACGAAGATCCTCTTTGGGATTTGGTTCCCCTCAGCATGGTCAGGGTAATAGACTTTGCCTGACTTCTCCCACAGTTAAAAAGGAGTTGGATTGTCTGCGCCTTATAAACAGAAACAAAAAATCCTGTGCTGGGTTCTGGCGTTGCTGTGGCCGGAGCGCCAGGACAAAGGAAGGCCAGGCACCATCCACTGAGGGTGATTTAGGAATAATTAAATCAATCCTACCACGATGCAGGAAAGGTGGATTAAAAGACGCCCCAGTGAAAGCTTACCAGGATACGGGTGTGGAAGGAGACCGACTGTCCCAGGAGGCGTCCTGCTATATATGCAACAGGAGGCTCGGTCTATAGGGCTCATCCCGAACTCGGAGCCCCTCCACAGGCAAATATTACCAGTTTGGGTGCTCTGGAGTAAATACGAGTTCGTCTTCTTTGTGGCCCGGACAGGGCTGAGCGAAAACACAGCCGAGTCTGGTGTGCAGGTCCCCGTCTGGATGGGGATTTGTTTTATTTTCAGTTCTATACAGAAACAGACCTGCAACATTTGTCTGTAGTTGTATATTCTGTACTAAACGGTTAAGACCCCTAGTTGGACCAAGGAAGGGCTGGGAGATGACCAATAGCCTGCATATAGCTGCAGGATAGAAACACCAAAAGGGGCAGTGGATTGCGTATTGCAAAAGGGACAGGGGCTACCCGAGGATGAGCTAAAAAGGGAAAACTTGAACTGAACGTCAGGCAAAACCCTCCTGCTGCTGAGCCTGGACGGGCTTCTGCGCTATTGTCGGAGGAAGGTGGAGGGGAATGCTTGAAATGTAAACTGGATCAAAACTGGAATAATTTTTTCTGTGGTCCCAGAGAGAGAAAATACACGAATTGATGTGGCTCTGCTGCCCCTAGAATTCACAGATTTGTCAGAATTGAAGAAAAACGGTTTGAAAAGATAACGGATTTAAGAATGAATTTAGAGAAGGGTCTAGTTGCAGGCAGGTCCCTTGCATTTGCATGCTGCTTTTGTTAGTAATATTATCGATCTGATAGAATCCTTTTCATTCTGTATAGTGGAGGATATTTCTGAGAATTTCTGTTTATGCTCTCTGGAATTGTAAGGCCCTTCTGAAATCTGGATATATTTTAGAAAAATACTATTTTCTCTTTCCTTCCAGGAGCTATATATTTCTTAGATTGATGATATTTATACATTGACTTTGCAAAAAGGCTGCAGTTCTTGGGTTGATAATTGTTTTATTTTGGTTTGGGTTTTTTTGGTTGAATTTTTGTTTTGTTTTGTTTTCTTGGTTGCTATTTGGTTTTGGGGGGTTTTTTTGGTGTTTTTTGTTTGGTTCGTGTTTTTGTTTGTTTGTTGGGTTTTTGGGGTTTTTTTGCCATCAGAGTATTGTTAGTTTATATGAAAAATTGCATTTTCTGTACTGGAGGAGTTGAAGGGTGGGAGTTTTAATCCTCGGGGAGTGGAAGTGGTCTGAGACTTCTCATCCATCTGCTGGAGAAGAGCTTTCATCTGTCTCAGCTTTCCAGCTGCTGATTTTTCAATTCGGTTGTCCCAAACTGAGAACTTGCTGTGCAATGGCAGGTTGGGCTGCTGCCCGCCCAGAGTGGTCCAGGAGGATTTCCGGAGGATAATAGCGTAATGCAAGCTGTCAGGGAGCAGCTAATGCGAATCAGGGTGGGAGCAACCAGGGGAAAGGTAGAGGAAGGGAGCTGGCCCTGGCTCTTGTGGGGAAGGAGTGGTGAAAAGCGGTGGGGAATAGAGTGGATAAAACATTCAGAGAATTCATCCATGCACTGGGACTCGAGGTGAAAGATTATTTGCTCATGGTGATTGAACAGGCTAAGAATCAGCAGCTGGGAAAGGGCTCAGCACCTCTCTAGGCAGGGTGCTGAAGGGATGCTGCTTCATCTCAATGTGACTATCAAAGGGTTAAGAAATGTCTGGATGAAAGAGGAGGAGAGGTGTGGTTTTAAGCCTGGCCAGAGGTGGGTTCAAAGTTGTAGGGGACATAAAAGATAAGGACACCAGCCAGGATCCTTGAAAGAGGCAGTGGAGTCTGAGATGTAAGAACAGCTGGCATCACTGTGGGTGCTCGCTGCTGGGGAGGGACAGTCTCTAGAGGCAGGTCCTTGAAAAGGGAAGGTGATTTGTAACTGTTAAAAGTGCTGTCTTCTGGCATTTTCAGGTTCTCCTTTCACCCTGGCACCTGACCTTTGGGCACAGAAACATAGGAGATGGGGAAAAGTTATGCATTAGCAGGTTACCCAGGTTTCACTGTCCATTTCTCTGACTCTTCATCATCTTTGCTGCTTCTTCTTATGTTTTTTGATCAAAGAGTTTTACTCCCCTCAGGACAATCTTCACATCCTACCAACTGGAGGAACTGGAAAAGGCCTTCAATGAGGCCCACTATCCTGACGTATATGCTAGAGAGATGTTGGCCATGAAAACAGAGTTGCCAGAAGACAGGATACAGGTAATCATATCTCTTGGATCCCCTTATCATGCTCCTCTCAGCCATTTTCATCCCTCCCTGAAGAAAAGATAGCATGGGAAGGCTGATATTTCTCTGAATAAACTTCCCCAGGCTGTCAATTCTCCTGCTTTCCATGGGTAGGCAGACAGATCAGCTGTTCTTGGCAGATTTGTATTTGGTGTTTGTATGTCAACATGAGCTATGCATGGTGTGTTGTACCAGTGATTTAGGGTGTGTGTAACAGAGGGAATCTTAATTCAGAGAAGGAGAACAGACATGCAAGAAAAGACCACAGAGTTTTGAGGACTTGCTATGGGAAAGAAGGTATAGGCAGGAAGAGAACCTCCTGGAGTCTGTGTCTGGGTGGGCACTGTGAGAGGGAAAGAGCTCATCTCTGCTCCTTTGGGCACAGAAGAATGCACAGGGATGGCATAGGCAGCTAGTAGTGCTGTGGGTGGACTCAGTGTGGGAATGATGGGGGAGTCCCAGAGAGGTGTTTGCACCATCATTTTCACTTGAGAAGGCAAATGCCTCCTCAAGTGAAGTTTCCCTAAAGGTTTCTGGGGATATATATATTTTTTTAAAATTTGTTATATTTTGTTAAGCTTACAGTTTTTAACATTTGGGTTTTAGTTGCATGTCAGTCCTGTTGTGCCACCGTGAGGAGGTAGAACAAGGTGGCGTGGAGTATCACCACTGTGTGGTGAATCCTCCAGTGATAAGGAGCAGTCTGAGCTGCAGGGCTGTGCCAGCACCATCCTTTGTCCTGTGTGGCAGCAATCAATGCAAGCAATCATTACAGCCAAAATGCTGGAGAAGACTTACAGCTGCTGTGTACAGTGTGGGAGGCACAATGTGCTTGGACGGACTACACATGATATTCACAAGGGTGGGCTCCAGCAGCTTTTGTTGCCTCCCTTCACTCATGACTTGCTCCTGCCAGGTTGCTACATAAGGCATAGGATTGTAATGACTGAGCCTTGAGCAGCAGGTACAGGTAATATTTCTGGGCTGGCTGAGAGTTAAACTGGCCTGGTCCTCCACACAGTGGCAGTGGCTGCCTCTGTGACTGGTGTATAGCAGTTTCTACAAGAGACATTGTCTTAAGTGCTACATTGTGTTGGGAGGGTCCTAGTTTCCCAGGTTCCTCCTTCTGTTCAGTCCCTCATGCGTGCCCAGCACCCGCTGAGCTGCTTCTTGAGCCTGTACTCTTTCTTTGCTAAAGAGATGGCCCAGGAGGCTGCTCCCTTGTGGGTTTGGAATGTAGCTCAGAGGGCACTTAGCAAGATAACACTGATGCTGGAAGCTGCTGTGGTCTAACCCTGTGCAGAGACAGGAAGATCCTCGCAAACAAAAGTGCAGCCTTTTTTCTCCTCAGTCCTGAGACCCCCTCATCAGCCTTATTTTTATGCTTAAACAAGAGTGACATCTTTATAAAAGCAAGTTGTGCTTCGTATCCCATTGATCTGGCAGGACTCCTGCTGACCTAACAGCTTGTAGATAACCTTCGTGCTGACAGTATTTCCACCAGTCTTCAGAGCTCATCATCTGAAATCCTACCTGATGCATTAGGATTTTGCTCTGAGCAACAAGCCCTGATGCTTTGCCTCTAAAGAGTGAGATGGATGAAGGGTCATTTCTCTTCTTGTGACCCTGTAGGACATCAAGTTAAGAGAGGAGAGACTTATCAGGAGTGTAGTGTTGCCTGCATCCACCATCTGATGCTGTTCTAGAAAGAGGATCCTTGGATTTCCCATAAAGGCCCTTTTCAGCCAAGAGGTTTATCTGGTGGCACAGTATATGTTGAACTCCAGAGGCACCATTTCTCTGGCCAGAACTGAGGACTTTCACTGTGTGTGAGGTGGAGGGAGATACTATGGCAGAGAGTGCAGAGCTGGACACTGCATGTACTGCTTCAGCATCTGGAGCATCCTTCCAGTGCTGAGACTCAGTGTTTTACCTGATAACAGAAGCGAAATAGAAGTTAATGTATCTTAACTGTCACTGACTTGCTGCCATGTCATTCTGCAGCTGGCTAATAAACAACTGCCTACTCTCCCTGTGTTGCAGAATTTTTAAAACTAAGAGAGCTCCTTACTCGGACCCCTCTGCCCTAAAGATCAGGTTAGACTTGGACAGCAGAAGCACCCCATGGTCTGACCATCAGGTGTAACTAGTGGCATGTATATTCCAAAAGAAAGTGCTTGTGAGTAACAGTTTTCCTCATTGTGAAAGGGGAAATAATGAGAAACAGCAAAATGTATGTGGCATCTGTTGTGCGAGAGCATGAGCACCCTGCCAGGGTGAGCATCGGAGTCATGTAGAAGTCCTGAGCACCACTGTTCTTTCCGGTAGGTCAGCAACCGATTATCCCTTACCACATATTTATGAAATTTCCTTGTCCATAGTTTCTTGTGTATGACAAGCCATGCCAAGATAATTCCCACCTTTGATCACTCTTCTTGATATTTCACCTCATATTCCTTTTCAACTTTAGCCCTTTGTGTTATAAGCCTAATTCTTTCCCCCTTGTTATAATGTTCACACTCTTTAAATAAATTTAAGCTATTTCTTCTGGCTGTCACTTTTGGTTTTCATCATTGCTTACACAAGTTGCAAAGACCTTTCCTTAAATCATCCTTCATAAATCACACACTCATCTCTTAATCATTTGGTTGTTCTTACGTGGAGCCCATCCTGCCTGTCAGTCTTCCTGGAGATAAGAGACCACATGCCTACAACTGCATGCTGGGTGTGTTCACACTGGTTTAGCTGGGTTTCTGAGCCCTTGTAGAAACAGCCTTGTATTACCACTGGTCTGCTTGCTTCCTTATTTATTTATTTCTATTTATCTAATTCAGTCACTTCAAACTTTTTTTGGACAGGTGGGGTTTTTTTGTTTGTTTTGGTTTGGTTTGGTTTTGGTGTTTTGTTTTGTTTTGGTTTGGTTTTTTGGTTTTTTTTGTTTTAATGCTCAGAATTTTCCCTTCAGTGTTCTGGATTTCATATGGCATTTTATTAACTTTGTCTGACAGCCATAATCACAGCCCTACCAGCTCTGACACTGGCAAGAGGTGGGTGCTAGAGTATGAGAACAGGGCAGCTATCCAGTGATACTTACTGAGTACTTTATCAGCCTCCTGGGATTTTGAACACATGTAAATATTTTAGTATCCTGCAGCAAGAGGTTCTGCAGCAGAACTGCCTGAGTGAAGTAAACCTTGCTTTGAATCTCTTAACATCATTTATTGCCCCTTGGAAGAGACAGCTGACAATGAATCTTATTCCCATTTTCATAATATTTATAATTCCACATAGTTGAATTCTTTTCCTTGCATGAGTTTTCAGCTGCTCAAAGGAGCTCTATATTTTTTAATTTTCTTTGTGGCTTACAGTTCCTCTCATCTTTCAACATTTCTCTCTCCCTCTTCTATATCATTAATGAAAGTGTTTTCTAAGATTGTTGTGAGCATCATATGTTGTAGACTTCCACAGCATTCCACATGGGTTCTCACTGGATCCACACCTAAGAGTGATATCTACCCCTTAATTTCATTCATGGAATTATTTCTCAGGAAGTAATAGTCAAAGAGAAAGTAAATCACCTATGAAATTTGATGTGAAAGTGAAATTCAAAGAGTGCAATTGAAAGAATGATATATAGGAACAGTTTGCAGGTAAAACCTTCAGCAGAATGCTACAAATAGCCATCAGAGGCCAAGAAAGTTATTGGTTTGAAAGAACATTGAATCCAGGAAAAAATATTCAAATCCTCCATTTAAAGAGAAGATGAACATGTGATTTTTTTTCCAAGGCAGCACTCTTTAACACTGTGTGTGTCTTCCCCCCCCATTGAACTGGCTGCTCCTGGAAGAAAAACAAGCATCTTCCCATTGGGAAAGTAAGACACTATGCACAAGTCAGACCAGATGTCACTCTGGCCATTTTGCAAGATACTAAAAAGTCCACATTAATCAATATATTTGAAAATATTCAGAAGAATTGAAGTGCCCCTATTAGAATAAACACAGACCATTCTGTAAAATCCAGATGACGTAAATAGATTCCTGTGGGGAAGTATATCTTAATAAACAGAATGAAGTATTAAAAATGGCCTCAAGTATTGTGACATCTGACTTAAACTGCTGTTTCTCGCAACAATACTCTTAAGTGTAATGAGTAGATTTTAGATAAGTTATCCCTATTGAATTTATTAATATGTAGCAGTTCTGAATTTTAAACACAGTAGTTTCAATATTAAAGTTCAGAAACAATTTGATTTGGGATTATTGAAATGTGTGTGTATGTTTTTCCTTATAATATGTCTCCTACCAATCAAACAAATTGATTAATCAGTATTTCCAAAAAATAAGATCCTGGCTGCCATTGGGGGGACACTAGAGTCACCTTTTTAGGGAACTAATCAATTGAGAAAGATAATAAAAGTGCTAAAAATTGTCAGTTCATATTGTCAAAATATTATATGGTTATTATGTGGATGATGAATTTTGGGACACATAAAATTGCTCATGTAAGCAAAAGGAATCCCAAGAAGAGTCTGGTACTGTGCATGAGAAGTGGGGATTGTCTGTGTATCCAGCAAGTTTTGTCAGGCAGCTAAAAGGTCAGTTTTGGCTAAAACCAAAACAAGGTCAACTAAATCTCTAATTGAAAATGTATTGGTTTAGCTGCTTTCAGATTAATGCATTTCAGTATCACTGTGCAGGGAGTTGAACAGGGATGGAGGAATCAGGAAGAGTAGTCATTTGGAGGGAAGCATTTGTACCAAGAGAGTATTTTTCCAGAATAAGAGCCTTACCTTGCTTTATTTTTACAAAAAGGTTTTCTGTTTAGAGGTGAACATAATTTGGAAAGGCCTGAGGAACCTGAACTGCACTGAGCGTGAGCTCAGGAGTGAACCCAAGGAGTTCCCCCAAGAAACATAATAGAAAGTGTGAAGGAAAAATTAACTTTATGCAGCTTTAGCAGCCCTGGCTTCT